GAACTCTTTTTCCTTGGAGGTTTTTCAAAGAGGTTTTAGGGGCGAAGAGGAAGAAGGGCACTGCCAGGCGCCAGCGCTAACCTTTCCTCTGCTCAAGTTAGAGAAAATGACAAAAATGGTCCCCGTATTTGCAATATTTTTAAAATAGTTCCTTAAGTATACTCATAAACAACTTTGATCCTTTAAGTTTAACAAACTTTGAGGCGGTTAAATTTAAAGGGAACTGTGAAAAAAAGTGTTAAGATGAACTTACATTTGGAGGAATAATTTTTGCTAATTTGATCTATTTCTGCGTGCAATTTTTTTAGATAGTTTATGCTTATTTTGATGTATTATGTTATCTAGTGCATTTTTTGGTAATTTGACCAGATTTTCTGGTATTTCTGATTAAGAGCCTGTTTGGCCAAGCTTCTAGGAGGCAAAAAGTACTTTTTTTTTTTGCCAAAAAAGTACTTTTTGAAAAATTTAAGGTGTTTGGCCAAAATGAAAAAGTACTTCTTAGCAGCAGCAGAAGCAGTTTTTCTGCTTCTGAGGAGAAGCTACAAATTGTAGCTTCTTCCAAAAAGCAGAAGCAGAAGCAGAAAGTTAATTTATTCAAGACAAAAATAACCTTACAATAAATTTATATTTTTTAAATTATCCCTCATTAATTTAATTTTTCTTTTTCTTTTCCTTTTCCTTTTTTTTCTGCTATACATTTATTCTCTTTTTTATTTTAATCAAATTTTTATTCTCTTTCTCCTATTCTTAAGAGTAGATTTAAATTTATATTGAATGATGTATTTTGACATATTTAAATTATCATGTAAATAATAAGTAATAACAAACACACAATATTGTTGCTTTAGAATAACTGTATTTATATTAATTAGAATTTTTAATTTATATTTTTACTTTACGTTTTTTTATTTTAATTGAATTCTTTTCTACTAAATGTTTAAATTTATTTTTCTTTTCTAAATAATACTAATCGCAAATTGAACCATTACTGTCCTTTTTCGTAATTTGATACTTAAAAGTGCTTTTTTAAATGATTGGCCAAACACGATGGGCTTGCAAAAAGCACTACTCAAACGAATCGGCCAAACACAAACTACTTATTTTGCAAAAGTACTTTTTCATAAAGCACTTTTGAATAAAAACGCTTTTCAAAATAAGTAGTTTTTGGCAGCTTGGCCAAACGGGCTCTAAATATCTTTTTTAATAGATCATTTCTGTCATTTTCTTGATCAAATTAACTAACGACTTTGTTCTTTTCTTTTTTTTTCCGATAAAGGATATGTATGATAGAGCTAAGACTTGGGTCAGGACCGTGGGAGGTGACTCAGAGCTTTTTGTATAGGTCTAAATTTGGCGACTCGGCAGTAACGGATAAGCAAGACAAAGGACGGGGTCGACCATGGTATAACAACTGAAGGTTGCTCTCAAAACGGTTGATGCCAAAGACGGGCAGTTGAGATGAGAAAATAACGGTAGCATAGGTTCAAATATGGACACAAGGAATATTCCTTTGGATATTCCTTGCTTTGTACTCTATAGGGTTTTTGGAAAACGTCCCTTATAAATATGAAGAGATAGAGAACAAAAAAGGGATCTTCACTTTTTATGAGAAAGAACACTTTGTAAAAGGTTGACCTGAAAGAATATACAAAAGTTGTCTCATTCATTGGTTACATTACTCGAGCATACATTTGATGTTCTTTATTCACGAGATCAAAATATTCCTCAGCCTCCTCTTATTTCCCTTCTTTCCACACTATTGTCAGGGGAAGGTGCTTTCCGAATCTTACAATAATTGGGTAGTAACTTCCTTTTATTATGCTAGTCACATTTATTTATATTCATTGTACATTTATGTTGTTGCATTTATGTGCATTTAATCAGCTCAAACATATTAGCTAACGTCGTTCATCTTGTCTACTTCATCTAACATTTGGTCTAGATTTTATTATTCTTAACTAAGATTCACCCCTCTTCTCATCATTAATTGGTTTAATCAAAAGGCTTAATACTGAGCTTTTTAGTTAAAATTTTAGTTTCTTCTAGATCATAAAAAGGGACAGCCATCTTTTCCTCGCTTTGCGTAAACTAAAAATGGCAGGAAAAGGAGATGCAAGACAGAAAGCAATAGCAGGTGTCACTAGGAACATTATGAAAACCATCAACGAGGATGGCAGAGAAGACAATGAGAATGTGACGCCAAGCGTTACGCCCAGGCGGAGTGATTCACCTCCTCCTCATGAAAGTGTAACCGCTTCACGTGAAAGAGGAGCTTCCATATCCACAGCTGAGGAAGCACCACCAACAGTGAAGAAACTGTTGGAGGAGTGGCTGACAAGTAACCTCAATGACATACTCGACAAACCCGTTCAAAAAGCGAACTAAAATGCCACGCCGACAGATGTCATAACGACCACCGATGAGCAACCAGCTCCCCCAACAGGTAACACTCACACCATTGTTAATGTATGCAATGACGCAATGGAATCCATTTTAAAGAAAATAGAAGAAATGGAAAACGAAAATAAGGCACTCCGCGACCAGATGAGAGAATATTAAGAAAGGGTCGATAAGATACTGGGCGATTCGAAACTGCTACCAAAACAAGATGTCGACCGATTCATCGAACAACCGTATAGCGAGGAGGAAGCCCCACATGCCATACCCAAGACCTTCAAAATGCCGCCATATTTAAAGATATACGATGGCACCACAGACCCAGAAGACCACATCATTCACTATGTCACAGCAGTAAAGGGCAACGACCTATCAAAGAAGCAAGTATCGTCAGTGCTACTAAAAGATTTCGGCGAAACCCTAATTGGAGGAGCCCTAACTTGGTACTCACAACTACCAGCACGGTCCATAACAACATGTGAAGAAATGGCTGATAAGTTCGTCACCGCCCACGTCGGAGCTAAGAAATCGGAGGCCAGGGTGAACGACATATTCATCATTAGGAAATCGCCAGGTGAGGGACTCATGGACTTCCTCGCTTGGTTTAACAGGATGAGAATGGGTTTACCAAACGTATCGGAAGGGATGGCGGTAGCATCCTTCCAAAACGGGCTGAACAGAAATGGGTCAAGGGCAACCAAGAAGCTGTTAAGCAGGCTCATGAAATACCCTCCCACCACTTGGGAAGAAATTCACAATGCCTACTGTGCCGAGGTGAGAGCAGACGATGACGACCTTAACGGTCCAACCCAACATTTAACGTCAATCCAAATAGAGCCAAGGAAAGACCGTCGTAATGACAGTCGAAGAGATCAGTCTGGACCACGCCTCAACCGAGATAGGCATCAGCCCTATGTCAGAACCACCATTCCACCATCTCCTCGACATATGGAAGGGCCGTCCAGGCCGCACACAGGGACTCAGCGAAACAAAAGAGGTATGTCCCCACTCTTATACGCTCACAATTTTTGCGTTTCTCCTTCAGAAGTAGTGTACGCACTAGAGAAGCTTGGTACGAAGGTGAAGTGGCCACAAAAAATGAAGTCCGACCCCAGTACCCGAAAGTCGAACGTCCTTTGTGAATTTCACCAGGAGCGGGGTCACAAAACCGAGGACTGCATAGCCCTGCAGCAAGAAGTGGTTAACATGCTGAACCAAGGACACCTGAAGGAGTTAATGAGTGACGAGGACGAGCCAACTTTGGCCGCGGACGAGAACAACACCAGGGCCCTCCAAAGCCGCCCTCTTATGCCCGCACCATTCAAATGATCATCTGTAGAGGCGACGAAGCAGCAGTCAACCACATAAAATTTACCACCACACACAAGTTGAAGCGGTCAATCACTCACGATCGGTATGATGACCTCGAAGAAAGTATCATCTTCGATAAGTCAGACCCAACGGTTTGATTTTTCCTCACTCCGATGCTCTTGCCATAACCTTACGTATTTCAAATACTGATGGTAAAAGAATAATGTTAGACGACGGAAGCAGCGCGTGTATCATCCATCCTCGAGTGCTTGCACAAATGTGACTCAAGGACAAGATAGTACCACGTTGCATAACACTAACGTGTTTTAATAATGCAGTCGAACGAAGGATCAGGAGAAATAACGCTGCCCGTCCTAGCCGGAGGCATCACCTTAGAAACAACGTTCCATGTCATGAACCAGGACACAACTTACAACGCAATCATAAGGCGACCGTAGATACACGCCATGAGGGCTATCCCATCCAGTCTGTACCAAGTAATCAAATTCCCTACCCCATAGGGAATATCCAGCATCCAAGGCGAACAACGCACAACCCAAGAATGCTACCGCATCGCCCAAGATTGCACATTCACTCAACAACTAAAAGGAACAAGCTCGGAAGCATAGCAATTAATGAAGTCGGGGTCCGAACCCAATGATCAGAAAGACGTTATTAAGGACCCCGACATCATGGAGGCTGCAGGATCGACAATAGAAGATCTCGACCCAGTCGAACTGGATAGTAGCGACAGCAATAAAAAGGCCTATATAGGCCATAAGCTCTCCGAGCCAGGTAAATTTCATGAATTTTTAACCAATAATGCCGATCTGTTTGCCTTTTCCCATGCAGATATGCCAGGGATTCCGAAAGACGTCTCAACACACAAATTGAACATCGATCCATTCTACCCCCCAGTACGACAAGCGAGAAGAAAATTCAATGCCGCAATCAATGAGGCCATCAGCGAGTAAGTGGATAAACTACTCGCTAACGGCTCCATCCGAGAATCAAAATATCCTCAATGGGTCACCAATGTAGTCATGGTCAAAAAGAAAAACGGGAAATGGCGAATGTGTGTGGATTTCACGGACCTAAACAAGGCCTGCCCAAAGGACTTCTTTCCTCTGCCTCATATCGATCAGCTCATTGACGCAATTGTAGGGCACGAGTTGTTGAGTTTCTTGGACGCCTACTCAGGCTACAACCAAATCCTCATGGAGGAAGAGGACCAAGAGAAGACCACTTTCATCACCC